TGCGCATCATCAGTATCATCCTCGACAGCCTCCATGTATTCTTCTTCATCGGTCTGCTCTGAGTCAGCTTCCTCCTCGACTTCTGAAGCTAATGTGCGAGTGCGACTAGACCCAGCAGCTCCAGCACATCTAAGAACCCACCATTTATTACATGATTTGACTCAATGGATGGGTGCTTGTAGTGAAGAGATGGATTTAGAAAATAACCGGCTGAATGGAGGTGCTTGTGAAGCTGGGTATCCCATCTCCTATCAATAATTTCAAGCATAGCCTTGTGCATATTTTTATCATCCTTTAAAACATCTTTTATTTTAGTTCTTGTCCTAGTCATTGCCTCATGTATGTAGCCCATGGCGGGCTTCGCATCACCATCAACCAGTCGAAGCACTCTCACTAAAGGGCGAGCCACCTCCAATGCAATAATTATTTGACTCCAAAAAGATGTATTCAAAATAATTTTTCAGCCCTTCTCCCATCCTTGTGCTTTGACCATTTGTTTTGACTCCATTGCTCTGAAGCAAACATGGGCCTCAAGGCACTTTTTGCTTGGCTAGGCTTCGAAGAGTGAGAAATGACGTGGCAAATCTAGTGATACCCGATCTCACTAATTCTCTCTTCTTTGTAAAAGACCTCATCATGCTTAGGACTGTGGTGTGATTGTAAATAAATCCAACAACAAACATAGCTCTTGAAATCACCCCACTAAATAAAGATGTTGTACCCATTTCCTTTAGTATAAGATTAAAACAGTGAGCTGCACAAGGTGTCCAAAATATATGCTTCCTTTCAAAGTCAAGAAATGCGCAGCTGCAGCATAGTTGGCACCATTGTCAGTGATAATTTGTACGACATTTTGCTCCACAACAAAATTGACAATCTCATCCATCAAGCCAGATAAGTATATACCATCATGTGACTTGTCTGATGCATCAATAGACTTAACAAAAAAAGTACATGTTGGGCAGTTAACCAAAAAATTAATGAATGCCCTTGATTTCCCTTTGGACCAACCATCACACATAATAGTGGCCCCATATTTCTCCCACCTTTCTCTCTGAGAAATCAAAATTTTATTCACATCAAATACAACATCCTTCAACAAGGGCTCCTTAACCTCATGTAGTGAAGGAGGAATAAGTCCTGGGCCATATTGCCCAATTGCCTAGACTGTACATGCAAAAATATCCAGAGTTATAGTATTAAAAGGAATGCTGGCCATGTAAATCCACTTTGCAATCCACTTACATACCGACTTCCTTTGTTCTTTCTTATATTTATTGTCAATTGTGGTTTGTTTTATTTTTTTCTTTCTCTCTTGAACCACAATTTTGAGGCTAGGGGTGAAAAAAGAATCCATTGGCCCTTTAGAGAGAGGTGTTCTTCTCTCAGCACTACCACCAATATTTATAGCCCTCTCTCTTGAGGTTGGAGTATGACTACCCCTTTGCCTCATAGCAACTTCAGACATGTCATCATCATTATCATTAAATAATTGCATATCATCAAGTAATTCTTTTCTTTTCTTTTTTTTTTCTCTTTATCTTTTTTCAATCTATCCAAATATTCTCTAATCTCCTTTTTTATATCATCTGTAGCTTGTGGGCATGCTCTTACATTCCCAGAAATTCCGGCTAAATGCTCTTTTTGTCAAAAAATACCACCCATATAAGTATTTCCACAGAGCAAGCATATCACACAATTTCTATCTTTCAGATTTTTTAGTTTAGCATATTTTCAAGCCGGATCTTTGTTACTAGAAGATTGGGAAGAAGACATTGCCCCAAAAATAAGTATAACAGTATTATTGTACAAGAAGGAATAAAAAGTTACCGTCTCTCTAAAGTAGTGCTCGATTCTTCGCGGCTTCGAAAATCCTCAATTTCTTATCACAAATTCACCTTAACATCCCCAAATCAACAATAAAAGGCATCAAATGAACATCCAAGTATCAAACAACCGCCAAATCAAAGATTTGGATGAAAAAAATTTTTTCGCCAAATTTTATTTTCCTTCGATTTGATGCAAAAAAAGCCACAAAAGTGGCTGGAAATCTTCGATTAGGGGGTATAGTAACCCCCCAAACTGTTTCCCTAAACATTGGAACAAAAAAAAGACCATTTTGCTCCTCCTTGAGGGGCAAAATCGAATTTTTTTTTCATGGAAACAAATGCGGGTGAGATGCAGTCTGATGCAGCCATGATGCGGGATGCGGCGCATATGCGGCCGCATCTGTCAAAAGCGCATATGCGCCTGAACGGGATGCGGATGCGAGCGCATCCCGCATTTTAAAACACTGATACAGATATACTTGTATGGATGTATTGGGCCCATGTCTTGATTCCAGGTTCTCTAAGTGTTACACTTTAAACATGTTTAGAAACCTATACCCATATTCATGCCTTGGTAACAAAGCTTCAAAACATCTAAGACCCAATTATGGAGCTAATAAAAGGAGCCATACTAAGAAAGCCTATCTGCAAATGATTTAAGTCCATCTCAAATAACAGTAACCCAGTCATTTCTTAAGTCTCGAGTATTCCTAACAGTTCTAAGCAGAATAATGCTACCAAAAACCCCTAGTCGAGCACTCAAAATCTCTTAATTCAACCTTTCATTGAGTCCTATGCTTTACCCTTCTCTTCTCATTGGTCCTGCAACATTTGTATTGTGTATGAACCTTTTGATTAGAGTGTCAGCATGGTTAAGGCTTCCTCTAGATTTAGTGAGGATCCTTAAAGGAGTCTTAAAACGGAATTAGGACTCACATAGTCACATCATTTACCCAGCTTACAAACTTCATAAAGCTCCTATCTTGGAACATTTTGTCTTTTGAGTCGAACTACAACTCCTTCTTGGCCTTCCCCCACAAACTGTCTTTAGAATAAACGTATGAAATGAATAACTAGGATCCAGGTAGCGGTGGCAATGGACCCGGACCCAACCCATACCTGCTGGGCATACCCGACACGGGTCCGGGTATGGGTCCAAATTTTGGACCCGCGGGTAGGGTCTGGGTTCAATAAATGATACCCGGATAGTCCCGGGTGCGGGTACGGGTCCTGCTATACCCGACTCGACGGGTACCTGGACCTGAATTTTTAGTTTACCCAAAGGCCAAAGCCCCAACCTTAAAATCGTTTCAATACTTTTCGACTTCCCCTAGTTCCCCAAAGGGGCAAACCAACCCCATCGCCATCCTCCCTCTCTACAGTTCTCCCTCTCTCAGTTTGTTGGAGACATAGCTCTCTCTCTCTGGATCTCGAATGTCTCTCTCTCTCTCTCTCTCTCTCTCTAATCGCCTACCCCTCAAAAATCAGTTCTTTATTTTTCACCATTATAGGCTACAAAAAAGGAAGCTCATAGTGTGGGTGGAAATGGACGACGGGATGGACTTGGGACCTGACAGGTACGGGTATGGGTTCAACTTTTTGACCCGACGAGTTGGGTCCAGGTCCAAAACCTAGACCCGAATACATTCGGGTCTAGGCCTGGGTCCAACCAGACTCGACCCTTACCTGACCCATTGCCACTCCTAGATTCAAGAAAGGAACTCAGAAGAGTCATCTGAAGCCATCTTGCCACTTTTATTTTAGTTGACCCATTTTTCTTATGCTCTTTTTTTGTACTTTTTGGCAGACCTTGGGCGAACTTTTGGGTTCTCATTTGTCAATATATATATATATATATATATATATATAGTAGTAAGGAAGGT